TTAAACACTTTCAGCAACACACAGCAATAAACAGTGTGCGTTTCTTCACAGCCTAATCAAACCTTACCTACCCAGATTTACCCCCCACCTGGAACAGTGATGAGTCATAGGCTTTTATTAAATACTTATTAATTATAAAAAGTAGCCAGTGCATCTTTGCAAGCTTTGTCACAGTGGCAAGGGAGCAGCAGCATCCACCATGTTGCTGCTGTGTCATGGCGGTGCAGTGGCACCATGTGGCTGTGGTGTCACTATTGTTCCATGGTAGGCACCATTACTCTAAGACAGGAGAGCTCAGGGCAGCTGCTTGTCAAAGAACCAAACCCCCTAGATGCCTCTTCACAGTGTTTATGTTTCCTCAGACACTGAGCAGAAATAAAGGCAGAAGCAAAGGAAATAAAGGGCCCATTTTGGCCCAATTTTGGCCTCTCTTACTTACCCAGTGGTGAAAATCATACTCTGATATGCTTACAGGGGAGGAAGGTGGGAATGAAGAGCATTGGTTATATCTACTTGAAGGGGAAAGGGAGACCTTGAGTTCACTTGGAATTAAAAATGAAAAAAAAAAAAAAAAAAAAAAAGATAAATAGTTGGGACTTCCTTCAAAATCCTCATCCCAGAGAAGGGATGATGGTAAATTTTGTAGTAGCTCTTCACTCATGCCCTGTGCTTCTGCCATATGCTGTGGTACTTTCCAACATAAGGTTTTACTCAGAGGGTCATTCTAATGCTGTAAGCATCACAAAGCTACAAGAGGTTCTGCAGAGATACATCAGAAGCATTTGATGTTCATAGACAAAGAACTGTATGGATCCTGGGGTCTTCTAATTATCTTGAGTAAAGAACTGGAACCCCTCAGAACAGTCAGCACTTGATGCTTCCAGTGGATGTGGGCAGCATGTAGTGACCAAACTGAAATAGAGAACTGGATGTGTGGGATCTGTCTCCTCAAATGCCCTCAAATGGATTTTCCTTCAAATCAGTGTGTTTCTACAGAAATGTTTGATTATGTGTTTCAGTCAAGCCCGTTATTCTGGACTCTCAGTAGACATGGAATGCATCTTGCTCAGGTCAGTGCAGAATTGAGAGAAGTAGTACAGATACAGTGCAGCGATTGCCTCCAGGATCTCGTGGAGAACTCCACTGGTGTTTCTTCACGTTTTCACTACAGCTGTCCTGAAATTTTTGATATCCACACATGGAAAACAGATTCTAAGCTTCCATGCTGCAAATAATGTCTTTGAGTTAATCCATTTGGAAGGAAACTGTCTCTCTTTTATTTCTCAAAATATATGGCTCTGATAGCGATGGGAAAAGGGAGAATGGCTTTAAGCTAAAAGGGTGAACTTAGGCAAGATGTTAGAAGGAGGTTCTTTGCTCAGAGACTGGCAAGGCACTGGCATGGACTTCTCAGAGAAGTTGTGAATGCTCTGTCCCTGGAGGTGTTCAAGTCTAGGTTGGATGGGCCCCTGGGCAGCCTGGTCTGGTGAGTGGCAGCCCTGCTTGCAGGGGGATTGAAGTTTTATAATCTTTAGGGTCCTTTCCAACCTAAGCCTTTCCGTGATTCTATGAAATATACACAGTAAACATAATTGAATTTCTATTTACAGGGAAAAAAACACCTTTGCTCCCGTTCCCTCATGAGAGTCACCAGTGCCACAGTCAGAATTCTCCCACCCACTGCCACTTCTCCCTGGGCAGACCACTAACCCTGCACCTTCTCTGTTGACAAGCAGCAGGTCCAGGAACATACTTCCCCTTGCTGGCTCCCTCACCATCTGTGTCAGGAAGTTATCTCCCACACACTCTAGGAACCTCCAGGACTGTTCCCTTTCTGCTGTATTGTGTTTCCAGCAGACGTCTGGGAAGTTGAAGTCCCCCACAAGAACAAGATTAGAGACTGCGAGACCTCATCCAATTGTCTATAAAGTATCTTATCCACCTCTTCATCCTCATTGGGTGGCCTGTAGCAGACTCCCACAATACTCAGTCTTATTGGCCTTCCCCTTGATGGTAACCCATAAGCTCTCAACCCTATCATCCCCGTTATTAATTTCCAAACAGTAGTGGAAATGCTAAGTCACGGCCTGAACTAGTGATCAAGCATCTGGTGAGAAGGCAGGGCCAACCCAGGGGAGCTCAGGTCCATGCAGTGTATCTGAGTGACTGGAAGGTGTGGAGTCAGGATCCACCCCTTCTCAGACCTCATTTAAGGGTTGGCAGTGAAGGTGAGGGTACCTTCTGCTGGAGATTTCTGTCTACCTGGGGTCTTCTAAAGGTAAGCAGCTCTTTTCCTTTGTTTCTGCATCTGTGGCTGCTGCACTTGAGCTTATTCTCATTTGCTGCAATGGAAGACTTTGCCACTCTGTTCTTATTGTGGTACTTTCCATCCTGTTATACCATTACACAGGCATTCATGTTTTTTTTCTCAACATAGAGGGCTACATCACTGCCTTTCCTGCCTTGCCTATCTCTTTTGAAAATTTAGTAGCCATCCATCACAGCACTCCAGCTGTTTGAGTCATCCCAGTGTATTTCTGTGGTGGTGACTATATCATCGTTTTCTGACCATACAGTGGCCTCAATCTCCTCCTGTTTGTTACCCGTGCTGCATGCATTAGTGCAAATGCATCTCAGCTGGGCTGCATTTTTGGGTGCAAGAAACCCTCATACCCTCTTTTTGTCCATAGTCAGATTTATGTTTATGGAAACAACCTCACACCAACCCTTCTGTTCTTCCTGCAAAATGGTATGTCGTTCTCCTCCACCAAGACGCAAGAAATCTTGCTAGGGCATTCCTCTCCCTCACCAAACCATTCTATGGTTCTGAACACCAATTTGCAGCCAGAATGCTTGAGGTGTGACTCTAAAGAACACTTTCTCATTCAAGAAAAACCCAGTTTGTGTCCTCAACATTGCTTAAAGTTGTGAGTGCAGTGGGCTTGGACAGGGTCAACCCCACTGCATAGGGGATGCCTTTAAGCCACACAGTACTTAGACACACACAGAATTTCTCCCAGTTCTTCTAAGGTGAACCAAAGAATTTTTGCTGACAGATGGGGGCACTGCCTGCTGTCCTCTCTGCTGCACTCCTGTCTCTTGTCACATCCCTGCAGATGGACACCAGTGCTCTTGCCACAGGCTATGTTTGGTTTCAGTTTTCAAATTTTTTTTTCTTGCAAATATTAAGGCTGAAACCTCTTTCAGTAGAGCAAGCAATGTGAAACAAAACAAAAACACCTCTGAAACTATAGCTCAGTCATGTCCCAAGGCTGCAGGCACAGAGGCAGACTTATCCTCAGAGTGTGGGAACTCGGGGCAGAACTCAAGGCAGGGAGGTCTGCCACATGTTAAATATGTCTAATTTTCTGTAGGCTTTCACATGCAGCCTGCGTGCCTTCAATTCTTTCTCAGATCTTTGCAAAATGTAATTTAGTTCTATTTACTTGTGGTTCATTTGCAGTTCTTTTCAGTTCTGAATTATGAAATTATTCCTCTTAATGCTGTCAGGAAAGTTAATAATATCCAAGATCTCAGATTAAAAATTAAATATGAGCGTAACATTATTTTCCTCTGATAAATATTCATGTACAGTACATACTAGTGCAGGACTTTTCCAGAAGGAAATAAAGGAAAATATGTAGGCCTCATTCTTATTTTATTACAAAGTAAAAATTATAAGAGCTTTAGGCAAGATTTATATGTGCGCATAGACATTATTTCTGATGGTTGGTGCAATTATGATTTTCAAATGCAATGGAATGGTGATTTTTGAAATATGTCAGTGTTTCTTTTCTTTCTTTTTAGTTTTTCTTTCCTTGCTTGAAAACTTTTAACAGGCAAGCTTGTAAATAACACAAACAATTGGGGTCTGGAGTAGTGCATGTACCTGCAGCCTTATGTAGGTCCTGACTCAAGAATGTCTCCCTATTCAGTAAAGACTCTTAAGCTTCTTCACAAATGCTTTCTAATATTGGAAACTTAAGGAAATCAGTATTGTGAACTTTGCACTTATTTTTCTCTGCAAACACACGTTTAGTCACTATTAAGTACGTATAGTTAATTTCCTAATGCCGTAATACAAGAAAATATTCTGACTGCTTTAAGGGTCCAACCCATGTGTTCCAACCCAGGATCATGAGGTGGCATGTGTTGGGGACCCAAAAGGCCCCTGAATGAAGAATGATCCCGGGATGGAACAAAGCATTCCAACAGTTCTAAAGGAAGTGGCTACAGCCACAAGTATCTTATTTTGTAGAGGAAGTCGATCTTGGTAGTTTATCTTGTTTTTGCAAGGACTTGCTTTGCAAGCAGGTGTTATCTCTCACACACTCTAGGAACCTCTGGGACTGTTGCCTTTCTGCTGCATTGTAATTCCAGGAGGTGTCTGGGGAGTTGAAGTCCCCCATGAGAACAAGGGGTAGAGACCATGAGACCTCACCCAACTGTCTGTAGAAACCAGATTCTTAGTTTCTGTGCTACAAATGTTTGAGTTAATCCATTTGGCAGGAAAAAGTCTCTGGTTTATTTGTCAAAATACATAGCTCTGAACTGATTTTTAAATGGATGTCTGATTTTAAATAAACATTTGAAATACTCAGTCAATGCTGTTAATCAAATTAGTGATTCAAAGTATTTTTGCATTTTCTCTCAGATACTTAATTTTGCTTTTTTAAAATCATTGTATTATATGATCATATTTTGAAAGACTCAGTCTCAGTGGACAAAGACTCAGTCAAAACTGCAGAGATGGACCTCACAGAGGAGACATTTTGATGGTATTTTTTTTTTTAATATATATGCTTGTTGTGTTATTTCCAGCTCCTAGCACTCTGTAGTAACCAAATGTTCTTGTTTTGTATTTTTGGGGCTGATAACAGCAGCAGCCTGCAACATTCTAGTACTGAACAAAGTGCATTTGGTGGCATGATATTTTGAGAAGCCTGCCTTGCCTCTACTTGTGTAACTCTGGATGTGTCCTTTCTGTCTCCTGCAGAAGAATTTCATTTTCCTGACCCAGTGACTTCTGTAGCATTCCTCTGAAAGCTTCTCTTGCAGCGGGTAAGACTATGGTTGAGTGTGTGGTGGCTGTTCCTCTCAGGATATGTATATATAGGTTATATCGATAGGTTCCTTCACTTTGGCTTCTGAATCCCTCCTCCAACGAAACAACTCTTAAGTTATTAATTTCTCATTATATTTTAGTATCTATTAATTGTTGAAACAATCCGTTTGGCTTCTGAGTGCTCCCATTTTCTTCTCAGACTGACAGGTGGGAGGGGAAAGGCTATTTCTGTGGTAGGTACCGTATGAGCTGAGCTCTGTGTGTTTCAGGTTTGTCATACATTTTGCTCAGAAACACATCACTCTTGATGCAATTTTTGTTGTTGAAGACTTTCACTTCAAAATGCTCAGCTGTGAATGCTGCAAGCAGTTTAAAAATAGCCATGGAGCATATTGATAAGAGAGTGCTTGGAAGCCTCAGCCAAAACCAGCCATTCTTGTGAATCTGAATGTTTCCCTGTTGCTGAGGAATGCTAATTAAGCTTTCAGTGCAGACAGGAAACGTATTTAGCACGAATTTTCAGTGAAAAGGAGCTGATTTCTCTTACCTTCTTCCCTCAGCAAGAAGAGGGAGCCTGTTAGTATTCTACTTTTCCCACTGGTTCTCATGTTTATTTGCCCCAGAAATAAAGAATCAAATTAATGAGATACACTTGTATCATGATGCATTCATTCTCTTGCCTTTCCCAAGGTCTTCGGTAGTCTGCAGCAATGCCTGTGTAATTTCCAGTAAACAATGAGAAATGTTTGCAGATTCATCTCTTTTCTCCTGGGACTCTGACATATTATGGCTGGCACCAGACAACACTGGTCTTTATAAATAATGTACAAGCACATGGACACGCTTTTTGAGAAGCAAGAGGTCAAACAAGGTATTACAGTGATATCCCATGGTGTGAAACTAAGTCAACTCCTTTTTCCAGTAGATGAATTGACCAGTGTGGATCTGTAAATTGTTCCTATCACTACTAAGACTAAAAGGAAAATGTCTCAGCTTTCTCACTGCAATTCACTCTGGCTGATAGCCAGGTTCTCCACCAGTCTGTGCCTTGTTTGTGTGCCCTGTGCCATCTTAAATTCTGTAGCCTTCAAGACCTCAAAACAACTTTTCAGTTTCTCCCTGGGTGCAGATTAAATTAATCTGGAATTTAAAGGTTCAGTGCTGCTGTGGAAGAGAATGGTCCATCACTATTCTGTTAATAGGAAGCTATGACTGTATCCTGCAAGTATCATTTATTAGATACCAAATGTTCTACTGTCACTTTACTGGAAACACAGGAATTCTGGTTTCTTCTTTACTGCTTTCTCAGCCATGATATCTTATGATTGACAGTATGTCTCCCTACCTGCCAGACAGGATGCCAGTCTGTCAGAATTGTTTCCTTTTCTGTTTGTTTACTACATAGAAGAAACTGATGTAAAATGCATTTATGCAGCTTTGATCCAGGGCAAAAAAAAAAAAAAAAAAAAAAAAAACTTGTTCTGACCTAAACTTTTGGAGGAGGGAAAAGCTTGGACAAATCAAAGACATAAAAAGCAATTGTCTGTAATCAAATATGGAGAACATGAAAGGTATTACAGATTATTGGCAAGGTCTTCAAATAATACAAGCAAGCAGTTCTTATGTCTTTCAACTCAATGCTACATTATGAATACCTCAGTGATGCTGGAACAAATCAAGGATTTATACTTAGTTTTGTTGAGAGAGAGGTAAGAGCTTGGGTTTGGAGAAGGACTTTCTTAAGACTGTAAGAAACCAAAATGCTCCTGTCACTTTTGAAGTGGATGACTGCAGGTGATGGTAGGGGTGTCTTGTCAGCAGCCTCAGGAAGGCAGTAGAACAAACCTATTTGGTGTTAATTAGCATCACTCACCAGATGAAACATCATCACTATCCTGAGAAGTGCTAGTACACTGGGCACTTGCAAACCCTGGGCTGCCACTAAGAAAAATCTAGAGAGGTTTTGAGATGTGAGCACTTCTAAGCACACAAGTCCCCTGGAAATATCAACAGAGCTGTCTGAATGAAAGGGATGTTTATTGCCCTTTGCTTCTCTTGCAAGCTGATTGTTTTGGGAAATCTGTTTTTGCAAGTGTCAGGCCGACCTGTGAAGAAGCAATTCTCCTCTGGATAATTTTGGCAGAACAACCTGACCTTCAAGAAACTATGACTAAGAGTGGCCCTTTATTTTCTTGTCACCCTCACAGTATGCAATCTGTGGCTGAGTCGTATGATGAAGTAATGGAGTCCAGAGATTCACTTCTGAAAACTGCTGTCATATAATAGCAATGCCAGCACTTATGAAATCTCCAGGTGAACTAGCTCAAAGGTGGTGTTCATGACAGTAGAAGTGTAGAGTCATTTAAAAACTGATTCTATGGTAAAAGTATGTCTGGGGCTGAGATGGGGTTTGAACACAGCTCAAGGAACGGAGAGAAATTCAGGGCCAAAGAGTAAAAGGCTTCTTCCCTGCCTGCCAGGAATTTATGGCAAGCTGCAGAGTGACAAAGACTTGATGATTTTTCCAGTGAGGCTTGTGGAGATGCTATTAAACAGATCTGAGAGAATCGACTGGAAGGAAAAAGGACAGGGAGGAGGAAAATGATGTGATCCGTGCTCAGAGGCTGCTAAAGCTTTTGAAAAGTACACATGGGTAGCCAATACAGCTTGCCAATTTTGGCTCACCAGTACTTGCTGAGATGCAATTCAACCAAAAGACTTGCAAGAGAAGGACCGATCCTTTAAAGCAAAGGTATCTTAGAGACAGCTAGTGACCTTGCATGGGACTGTAGGTTTTTTCCCAGTGTGACTTTTATATAAAAAGATTCCTCCATAAAGTCAAAGGAAGCAAAGGGTTTTTGTTGTTAGATGTTTGATTCCTAAATTGACGTTCTTTTTAAAGTAGATTTGTGGAAATAATGACTGTTGTCATCAACAGGCACTCTGTATGGAGGAACTTGGCAGAGGAAAAACCCTTCAGTTCTCAGCTCCGTGAGTGGGGAAGGCAGAAGGCGTACTTGGTCAACAGGGTGAGTAGAGTTGCCACAATTCCATTTTAAATACAAATTAATAACAAAAAACGAAGGAAAGATCTATAGTTAAAAAACAAACAAACAAAAAAAGCACACAAATAAATAATCCACAATGAATGGAAGGATTTATCTATTTTGTTGGAAATGCTTTTAATTTTCTATGAGTGAGACCAATGACAAACCCAAAGTAACTGGGTTGAGGCATTGCAATTTGGTCACAGCTATACATGTCTAAATCTGGAGAAGTTTGTCTGCATCTTACATCTGCTTGAAGTTGGAATCTATTTACATTGCTTACACTGTCTATTTACACTGTTCCATCTGGGAAAAAAAGGAAGGATTAAGTGTGTGTTAATGCATATCTTTTTATCTGTTTGCAGACCCTACAGCTTCCACTACCATACCTGTAGACCTAGGATCCCGAGTCTGAAACGAAGCCCTCTTCTGTAGATGTGTAGCCTCTCAAGTTTGAGTTGTGAGTACCTTTCTCAAACTTCTTGATATTTAATGTCAGTTGCTTGATTCATTGTGATGCAGAATATTTTCTCTTTATTTTTGCTGTCATTGGAAAAATGTGGGAAGAAAACTCACTAACTCCAATGTGATGCTAGAAAGCAGCATTTCCTTATTCTTGTGATATATATTGGGCAACTTAAGAAATAAAGCGCATGCTCACACAGTTCAGGTTCTGCATTTAAACAGATCAGACATACAGGTGCAATATATTGGCATGCATATTCTTTTCCAAGAACTCAGTAATACGTGCTAACATCCCTCTGAGCATGTGTGGTCATGTCTATGGTGGTCATACTACCACCTCCGTCCTCCTCTTTATCTCTCCTTCAGCTTCATCATGGTGTCCTTTGGCTGACCTTTTAGCTGCTTTTCCCCAATCTGGCAAATTTCCATGGCATGTTATGCCATAATGTGCAACTTTCTATCTTGGTGCACTATAACTCAAAACAATTTATATGAAACCCAAGAAAAAGTCCTTGCACATGGTGGATGCAAAGATAAACGTAGCTTATTGTGATTTGAATGCTTCAGTGAAGAAGGGATTTGGAAAAACAAGACCGTGCGCATACCAAGCAAAGCTAAACGGAAAACTTTAGAACTATCATTCATTAATTCCTTTTTGCTAAATTAATATATTGGCCCTGAAGTTAATATATTGATCCCTGTTGCTAAGCCAACTTACATCAGCACTACAAAATATCAAGAGGTATGCAGATGTTGGAAACACCTTGGGAAATGTAGAGATGGGAAATTGAGTAGAATTTAACATCTTACATTCTTTTAAAAAAAGCTATAAGAATTGATAGATTTTGTCTATTGTGCTATATTCAGTTTATTATATAGCCATCATTATTGAATTATTTTGTATGTATTGATACTACTTAAAATGGTTAATGTTCTCCAAGGTGCTGTATGCATTTAGAATGATGTATGAGTAGTAAGAATAACCAGACTATATATGTCAGAAAGAAATAGAGATGTAAAGAAGCTGCATGATTATTTCTTGTACCTACCTGCTCATGGTGGACATGAAGAGGGGCTCATTTCCCAGGTATAAATATATCACTGCTTCAGTTATCCTTTATGTAAAATGACATTAATGACATATCTCATAGGGGTTCTGTAAGTCAGCAATGTTTGTGAAAACACTTTTCTATCTTGATGTGAGAGACACTTTAGAAGTGCAGTGAATTAATGTTTTTTCTCAAATGCTTTTTGAGTTCTACAGGGTCAGGGTTTTGTGGCTTGTTATCAGTATTCCACCAAGTGACTTGCTTTCTAATCTCTAGATTTGCTGTGTGGTGATCAGAGTTTAATGAAATGACTGTGATAGCCAAAGACAATTATGATAATTGAGATCTTTATGGGGAGGAAGCCCTTAGTTTGGGTTTTATGCTGGTTCACAGTGTGAACCCTTCACAGCTCAGAAAAAAGCTCATCCTGGGACATACAATGCTCTCAACTATCTGTGGTGACTAACTCTGTATACACAGTTCTGACAGAGCAAATGAGAAGAAGGGCATGATTGCTTTTGTTTCAGCAGAAGAAACTGAAGAGAATTTAAGAGAATACTTCATATTACAGTACGTAGAAATTTTGGCTTGATGCTATCTTAGCTGACTTGTAGCTACTTATCAAAGCCTGCTATTACAGCTATGCTGCAGGGCTCTCAAGATATATCCTTGCTTCTTGGCTGAGTCAAGCTTTCATGCAGATACCTATCAAAACTTTCCACTCACAAACAAAATATTGTTACTTGGTAAAGTTAAGTAAGCCAAGTCCTGATCAGGACCCATAGACCTGTGTGTGTTCAAGTTCCTCAGGTGGTCCCAAACCTAATCTTCATGTATAGGAAGCAACGTCCCTACCCCTTGATCCCCTCCTGCCAAACCAAATGTTTGAGGACTGTGTGGTGAGCAGTTGTCAGGGAGGACCTGACAAGAGGTAAAAAAGTGAAGTACCTCAGCCTTCTCCTTGTCTGTTGTTACCAGCCTGGCTGACTTTCCTTTTCTGGTTGAGGTACCTGTAAAAGCCTTCCTTGTTCTTTTTTGCAAAGTTCAGTGGTTTTCCTGACCCCATCCCTACACAGCCTAGCAGCTTCCTTATACTCTGCTCATGGTACCTGTCCCTGTTTCCATTGCCTCTGTATTTTCTTTTTACTCATCAGTTTGACCAGCAGGTCCTGGTTCAGCCATACTGGTCTCTTGCCTTCCTTTCTTGACTTGCTACACCTGGGGATGGAGAGCTCTTGTGCCCTGAAAAAAGCCTCCTTGAAGCTCTGTCAGCTCTGCTACATAGCCTTGTCCATGAGGACAGTTTCCCAGGGTGTTTTGTTGACTAACTCCCTGAAGAGCTGGCAGTTAGCTTTCCTGAAGTTTTGCTTCCTAGTTTTGCTCTTCAGCTGTCTCTTGTCCCTCTGGAGCATGAACTGAATCATGGCATGGTCACTACAGTCCAGGCAGCCTCCAATCCGGATGTCACCAGTCAGTTCAGCCCCCCTTGTGGGCATATTATAGTGCATATCTAAGGAACAGTAGGATTTCCTGGGGTGTGGTGTCTGGTCACCAGCTGTTAGAGAGGAGGAGACACAGCAACAGGGCATCTTCTTGTCTCAGAATGCTATAACATGCTGCTTGGAACTCTTTACATTCCTGAAAACCAGTTATTTCTTTCTTCATCTTTGCTGCTAAGCACCTCCTGAGCAATTTCTGCTGCTCTTGAATTGGATTTTTCACAATATTGCATGTAAAGATATTTCAGAAATCAAGAGGGCTTGCTTTTGAAGCTAAATCATCAAAACATATCTTTTTATTCTGAACGGACCATTTGGGTGACCATTTCTATTTCAAATAAGCATGGGCAAAGCATAGACTTTTTGAGAAGTGAACTTAATAGATCCAGTTCAGAAGTGCAGCTCTCAATGCCGGTGCAGCTCTCTGCTTCAAGTGTGAGAAGAAAGCAGCGTGTGAATTGTGGGAGCTGAGAAGGAGATGCCATCTGACCTGGCCCTTTCTCCACCATTGCAGTCACCAGCATTCTTTCTTAAGAGGAATCCTGGCAAACTGGTGCAGGTACTTTTTATATCTAAATTTCAAGTCAGCAAGGTCCTGTGGCTGACAGGCAATCCTTTTGCCTTTCTGTTTGGTTCTTCTGCTTTAGCTATTGTCATGTTCTGAGGCTGCTTTTTTGCTGTTTTTTTTTTTTTTTTTTTTTTTTTTTTTTTACTTCTGCTGCATTGCAGATACCTGTTCAGTCATGCCTGGTGCTGAGATTAAATGGCTCCAGCAGTGAGGATGCCAATGACTGGGATTTGATTGCAAAGGCTTGCACTTGTATGTCAGCAGAGTGGTTGATTGTGACCCAGCTGCTGTTGCAAGTGAATTGCACCTTGCGTGGGACACGTACCTAGGCCTCCGTCTAGTCCACAGCAGGGAAGCCACCATTTCATATGATGCTGGTAGCAGTCCCAGCACCACAGCAGAAACTGCACAGAGATCTTGGGGGCAGTTTTAAGACAAATTGGAAGTGCAGCGTGAAAGCACTCTTTTCAGCCACATATTCTGTGTTGTGGATTCGTGAATTTATGAAGTTTCATCTCCAAGACTAGCAATATCGATTCCTTTACAGGCTGACTGGGTGTCCACCACCCTTAAATGGATCCAGGAACTGTGAAGGTAGGCTTGGTGTAAAGTTGTCCCTTCACACCCATTTTCAGGTTTATTTGGACACTGCAGGAAAACTGAGTGTTTTTAAAGAGGGAAATTAAATCTGCACCTTATGGAGATAAGATCTTTCATCCATGTTTGCTACAGTTCACAGTTTTCACACCTGGAAGTCCCCTGTCCACATTTATCCCATTTAAGTAACAGGGCAAGACCACTCCACGTTTTGTTGTACCTTTTAATGAAGGAGGTTGTTTCAGAAGAAGCTTAATAAGATGTGTAGAACTGCAGTCTGAAAAATAAGCTGATGGCATGAGGAAGACTGAAGAGCCTTCCCAGCTACCAGTTCTTACATCTACTTGCCCTTTATGTGCATCAACAATGTTCACCCACAAGTTGAGGATTCATTTTGCAGAGGTGACTTGCATCAGGTGCCAGTGCCAAATAGCAGAAACACGGATGTAAATCCTTTCTGCGTGAACTGCAACATCACAAGTTGACATAGGCAACACACTATGGATGGGGGGTACCCTGTTTTCTTTCAGTCTGCCCTTTTTATGATAAACAAAATATGTGGTGAATTTCAGCTTTGCTGCATGCTCCATGCAGGAGACACTGAGATACACAGTGAACTCCCCCGTGGACTTGATAGCATTTTAAAAATGCATTGCCCAACCTGTAGGCTGATACTACTGCGCATAGATCCAGTCAGTACAAGCCCATGTGTCACTACATGTTTTCTTCAGATAGAGCTCTAAAAGTAAAGCAGTATCTCATGCTATCTATGTTAGAGTTATTGGGGAGGCAGTAGATGTAAAGACAGATTATGAAGACAGGGAGGGTTCTAGCGAATCTTGGAGCGCTGTAGATGCCCACTTCTTAATCTTTTTAACCTCAGCCAAAATAAGTTTGTCATTGGTTTTATCTTTTCAGTTTCAAATCTCAAGCCATTGTCACCAAAAGGATGACTGTATAGTAGTCTGTATATATATTTTGTGACTCGCTTGCTTGATAGTACCAACTTCATCCACTCTGCTCAGAGCATGTTTAGAAGTTTCTGTGGCAGTGCAATGTGGGATGTAACCAATGGGAGAAACAGCAAACGAAAGTGCACAGGAAGTTGAAAATGCCAGAATTGGGCTGTCCCATGCTACTTCAGCTTAGGTGTTCCCTCTTATTATCTTGTCAATGTTCTGAAAGCCTATCATGACACTGTAGTCTCTACACCACTTCATCTGTAAGTGCTTCTGCTGAGAGTGTCATGAGAGAAAAGATAATGCCAGGTGTGC